GATACCTAAGGATTCTTTTAACGGCAATTAAATGAGTTTCCTTAGGATTAGCTTGAAATCTAGCACATATACACACACTAAACATGATGTCGGGCCTAGATGCGGTTAAATATAACAAGCTACCAATCATAGAGCGGTAGAGAGTTTGATCAACCGTGTTACCTCCCTCATCTAGGTCAAGATGTCCATTAGTTGGCATTGGTGTCTTGATTGGCTTACATTCATCCATCTTAAATCTCTTGAGAAGATCATTTGTATATTTATCTTGAGAGATGAAAATCCATTCTCTCATTTGCTTGACTTGAAAACCAAGAAAGAATGTAAGCTCAACAATCATTGACATCTCGAACTCCTTTGACATCAATTCACCAAACTCTTTGCAAGAATATTCATTTGATGATACAAAGATGATATCATCAACATACACTTGACAAATGAAGATATGCCCATCAAGCTTCTTGGTGAATAGTGTGGTGTCGACCTTCCCAATGGTGAAGCCCTTCTCAATGAGGAAGTCCCAAAGGCGCTCATACCAAGCTCTTGGGGCTTGCTTAAGCCCATATAATGCCTTGGACAACCTATAAATATGATTAGGATATATAGGGTCTTCAAACCCGGGAGGTTGATCAACATAGACTAGTTCATTAATAAAGCCATTTAAAAATGCACTTTTCACATCCATTTGATATAATTTCATTTCATGATGTGATGCATATGCAAGGAGGATACGAATGGCTTCTAGTCTTGCAACCGGTGCAAAGGTCTCTCCAAAATCAAAACCTTCAACTTGAGAGAACCCCTTTGTAACTAGTCTTGCCTTATTCCTCACAACTACACCTTGATCATCTTGCTTGTTGCGGAACACCCACTTTGCTCAAATGACTCTTGCACCTTTTGGTCGCTCTTCAAGAGTCCAAACTTCATTGCGGGTGAAGTTGTTCAACTCTTCATGCATGGCATTTATCCAATCCGGATCTTGAAGAGCTTCTTCTACCTTAGTAGGCTCAAAATAAGAGACAAAAGAGTGATGTGCAATAAATGAAGCAAGTTTTTGTGAATGAGTCATTACACCCTTTGATGGACTCCCTATGATGAGATCTTATGGATGATCTTGTAGTAGAGGTGTATTTCTTCTATTGACCACTTGAGGAGGAGGTTGTGGAGCATCAACATCTTGTGCTTGTACCACCATTTGATCATGGGAGACATGAGTATCTTCATTTTCTACTCTCCTATCTTTATCACTATCTTGTGGCACACTTGATGAAGAAGGAGGATCAATCACTTGTACATCATCTTTAGGCTTGATGTATCCAACCAGAATATTCTTCATAGCCTCCCTCCATAGTTCATCACCTACATCATCAAGATTTTCATATGCTCCTTGGGAGCCGTTAGATTCATCAAATTCTACATCATATGTTTCTTCAACCAAGCTGGTGGTATGATTAAATACTCTATATGCTTTGGACTTTGATGAGTAACCAATAAGAAAACCAATATCATAACGTCTTTGAAACTTCCCTAGGTGTTGCTGCTTCTTATAGATGTAGCATTTGCAACCAAACACCCTAAAGAAGGAGACGTCTGGCTTCTTCCCATTGAGCAACTCATAAGGTGTCTTTCCAAGAAACTTTTGAAGGAATAGGCAGTTTGATGCATAGCATGCGGTGTTGATAGCTTCTGTCCATAGAGCTTCGGGGGTGTTGTACTCATCTAGCATTGTTCTTGCAAGAGTGATCAATGTCCGGTTTTTTCTCTCAACTACACCATTTTGTTGAGGAGTATATGTTGCGGAGACCTCATGCTTGATCCCAACTTCATCACAATAGGCTTCAATGTTTGTGTTGTCAAATTCCTTCCCATTGTCACTTCTAATCTTTTTGAGCTTCACTTCAAATTCATTTTGTGCTCTCTTGGCAAACTTCTTGAAGCAAAATGCAACTTTGGATTTGTCATGAAGGAAGAATACCCATGTATACCTTGAATAGTCATCAACAATTACAAGACAATAAAGATTTCCTCCCAAACTTTTGTATGTTGTTGGTCCAAATAAGTCCATGTGAAGGAGTTCTAGCCCTCTTGTGGTTGACATGAAAGCTTTGGTTGGATGAGTATTTGCTACTTGCTTGCCAGCTTGACATGCACTACAAAGCTTGTCCTTCTCAAACTTCACATCCTTCAACCCTCTCACCAAATCATTCTTCATTAGCTTCTTGAGTGAGCTCATCCCAACATGAGCAAGTCTTCTATGCCATAGCCACCCAAGTGTTGTTTTGGTGAATAGAAATGTCTTCAAGTTAGCATCTTTGGAGGTGAAGTCCACTAGATATAGGTTGTTGTATCTAAATCCTTTGAATATCACTTGATCATCATCCTTCTTGGATACAACAACTTCCTTCTCGGTAAACAAGCATTGAAAGCCAAGATAACACAATTGTCCAACGGATAGCAAGTTGAAGCTCAATGAAGCAACATATAGTACATTTGAGATAGAATGATTATTTAATATTACCACTTTGCTCAATCCTTTAACCTTGCCCTTTGAATTATCTCCAAATGTGATTCTTTCTTGTCCATCTACTTCTTCATCTAGTGAGGTGAACATACAAGGATCACTGGTTATGTGTTGTGTGCAACCACTATCAATAACCCAATGACTTCCACCGGTCTTGTAGTTCACCTACACACAAGAGATCAAGCTTTAGGAACCCAAACTTGTTGAGGGCCCTTCACCTTCTCAACAAGTGACTTTGCTACCCAAATTTTCTTAGGTCTATTCTTGTTGGGAGGTCCTAAGAACATGACTTTCATCTTCCCACTAGAATCCTTTCTAAGCATGTAATGAGTATTGAAGGCAAAAGGTCTAGCATGCTTGGGCAAGGGTTGTGGTGGTGGAGTTTGGCACTCATGGGCAAAGTGACCTTCTTGTCCACACTCAAAACACCTCTTTGGCTTTGGCTTTGATTTATGTTGTTGTTGAACTTGAGCCTTCTTCTCTTGGTTTGCCAAGTACCCAATGCCACTTCTATCCATCTTCATGACGGTGTTCATAAGTAGCTCACTTTGAAGATGCTTGCCTCTAGTGAACTTGCTCAATCCAATCTTGAGGTGCTCTTTCTCCAACTTGAGCTTCTTGTTCTCTTCCTTGAGTGCATCATTGTTTTTCTCTTCCTTGAGCTTCTTGTTCTCTTCTTTGAGCTTCTCATTCTCAAGAATCAAATCACTATCATGATCAAGAGTTTCTAGCACAATAGTGTTGTGGCTTTTGATCTCTTCAAGATATTTCTTGAGCTTTTCATTGTCATTCTTGAGCTTGACAAACTCATCATAATCATCGGCCTCAACCACTTGCTTGCCCTTGCTACTAAAACTTTGCTCAATGCTCTCAATGATCAAATCATCACATGATGTAGCTATATCAATCTTAACAACATTGTTAGTAGCATCACATGGCTCATTGGATAGAAATTCTTGAGCAATGACAAGATTATCGTGATTAATCTTAAGAGTAGTATATTCTTCTTTTAGCTTGTTGTGGCTAGTGATGAGCTCATTGTGTATCCTCTCAAGTTTATCATGTTTATCTTTAAGCTCTTTATAGAAGATTTGAGTCAATTAATCTCGCCCCACTCCAATTGATTCACAAGGTTCTCATGGTGTTGTTGGGTCAATTAATCCCTTATCTTACAAGAAGCATTATTAACAGTGTTAACAATCAAAGTGGAGGTGCCAAAGAATTTAAGTAACACTTGGCAATCGAAACAACCACCAATTGCAATTGGTGTGCAAAACAGTGTGTATGTAAAAAGCATACTCCATCCGTCCCAAAATATCAGTCGTTCTAGCACCGGACACAGGTACCAAGGCTCGAAACAAAAGGCTTTACTGCCCGTCGATTTCCGCCTCCACATCACGACTCCCCACCCCGCCACACGCGTCTCTTCGCTCGTCCTCCGTCGCGTGTGCAGCCGCAGGTGTCGGGTGGCTGGTGGCGACAGTGGCCTCGGCCCATGCGCTGAGGATGCTTCGTCTAGCCTTGGTGGTGCGGCCGTGGCACCTCCACCGCCGCCTTCAACAGGCTGTAGTAGAGGCGTAGAGTTGAAGTGCTGGGAGGAGGTGGTGGTGGTGCAACAACATGCGTTTGTCATGGGGGGGCAGCGTGGCCTCCATCACCATGCCTCGCAGGAACCCTACCTTGCCCCTACGAGATGAGTGCGCCTAGATCTAGGTGATGGTTGCGCGGGAGAGCGGGTCAAAGGGCAGTGTGTGTTGGTCGAGGCCGACGGTGGAGAAGAGGGAGGTGCGCACGGTGTCACCACCGACGAAGGGTGGCGTGCGTGGGGTTGAACACTGGCCGCCGGCGTAGGAGAAGAGGGTGTCACGCATAGGGTCGAGGCGGTGGAGAAGAGGGAGGAGGGTGGCCGTTGTCCTCCCGCCAACAGAGGAGAAGATGGTGGTGCACGCAGGGTGGCAGTGGCGACGAACGCCGACGAAGGGTGGAGGTGATGAGCACCGACGACTGAGGAGAGAGAGAAGGGATAAAGATGGTTTCATGTGGGACCCATGGCTTCAACGACTCTCTTTGTGGGCCGGGGACAGAATACAAACACTAAAACGGCAGTTTTTTTTCAGGATAGAGGTATGATGAATTTTCGTCTAATATATGTCTTTGCAACCCATGAAATTCTCTCCTCATGTTTGATGTCCCATCATACCCTCTTGCCCACGGAATGTAGACATTGATCCATGAGACGCAAACATAACATCCAAACATACCACAATGTATAGACGTAGGTCGTGTATGAAACCGGCCTATAACCACTCACCGGGAACCACCGTCTCTTGCCCATCGGAGTCCAGTGGAAATTAAACCGCCGCTGTCATCAACACCGTAGCTATATATCTTCACATTCTCACAACTCGCAACCCACACCCACACCCACACCCACGCCGCCCCTTCCCCTTGGGAATACAGTGGAGGAAGTGGAACCGCCAGAATGTCGTCGTCCTCGGCAATGCCGCCGCCGGCGTCGCCACGGGAGCACGTGGAGAGGATCCGGCCGGAGCGCTACTTCATCGGGCGCGGCGAGCAGAACCCGCGGGCGGAGGACATGCACCAGGTCGTCAACTACCTGTCGCAGGAGCTCTACTCCAAGGACGTCCACTTCCTCATGGGGCTCGTGCAGGTAATCGGCGCATCTTGCTGTCGCTGTTCTCTTGTGTGAGCGGATGGCTAGTATGTTTTGCGATTTCTAAAATTTTGCCCTTCTGCGCTTACAACTTACAAGTCCTATGATGACTAGGCTGCGCAAGAAATTAATAAATTTAATTTAATACATTTTCGTCAAATTTGGTACTAAGTTTTCCTTTTTACCCTAAGTGCACTCAACTTTATATAAAACTAGAAGCATATCATGCGTGTTGTCGTGGGATTTTCTTAAAAAAATAAATATGTCATATAAATAATATTACTATATGATATTATGTATACTTTATATAGATGAATTTAACTTACATGCTGTTTTATTGTCTCAGATCTGGTAAAAAATCGATGAGCTAATAGAAGAAAAATCAATGGAATATTTGATCACATTATATAAGAGTATATGATGAAGCAATAGTGTATCTAGATGACTACGTTAATAGATTAAGGATGAAAAGTATTGCATATAATAGAGTTGACATGGACATTTTTTATATAATTAATAAGGGATGACATGGATAGATTGTATGAAATGATTGTAAATTAGTGGGACATTTAGTGAAGAATTATGTAGACACCTTTCATGAAAGAGAGATAAAACATTTAATGAGGTTTAGCTTTATAAGAATATATATATATATATATATATATATATATATATAAAGAAATGGTTTAAATATTTTGGACGCCCTTCATTTTCTCTGTCCAGTTATAGCAACAGTTACTTTTCAGCAATATTTTGTTTTTTAACCCGAATATTTTGCTCTCAAATACTAGTTATCATCTCTCTCTGGTAGGTAAGCCTCATTTTTATGCCTACGCTGTTATTGTGAAGTGAGGCTTCCTTGGAGTCTGGGCACTTCTATTCTTGGTGCGCGGCGTTCCCATTACCTCTTGTGTGTGCTCAGTGGCTGGCTTGTGGGCCCTCAGCTCTTGGACCCACACGTCAGTTGCATGGGATGAACGGAGAAAATGATGTCCCCTTCGTAAAGATATATCCTTGGGATGGAACACCGACTAGACCCACCGAGACTCGTAGCACGAAAAAGAAAATTTACTGTTCAACTGTGATTCGGAGTGAAATCTACCACTACTGTTCATCATATTGAAAATCTGCCGTTACAATTTCTACTTTCCTTGAACTGTGCCATTTTATTCGCCTGCCTACCCCTTGGGCCCAACTACAGACACATGTATTTCTGTATTACCCAAACTACCCCTTTCTTCTTGCTCTGTCAAGGAGCTAAAATCTCAAAACAATGGCGTGATGAGGTGTGTTGGCAGCACAAGGCGTGGGAGTGGGGGCGACTACCGGTGAAGCGCGGGTGCAGCCATCCTCCACATACATCATCTCTTTGGCTCTCTCTCTAGCTCAAGCCACCAGCTAACGGTGGACCATCTCCTTCCCTTCCCTCGCCGTTGATGAAGAAAGCAACAGGGCTGGCAGAAGGGTGGCCGTGAACCCGACGATCCGGCGCACCAGAGGAGGGCGGCGGTGTTGCAGCGGTCGCGACGGCGCTTCGTGTGTGTGGGCCCCCACCCTCCTGCTGCGGTGTGGCCGGATCTGTGGGCGCCAGTGCGGCTGAGTCCGCCGGCAGCGCCACGGTAGCCTGCCGAGCACTTGATGCGGGAGAGGAGGGCGCAAGATACTGGCCCAGCTGCTCCGTGAGGCGGTCCCGGAGCACGTGGGCCTCATGCTGGCCCAGGGACGTCGGGCGGAACGTATGTAGCCGGCCGCCGGGGAGGGCACCACCCGCTGCTTGGACCCGTCAGCGCGTGGTTAGGGATGTTCGGGGGTAGGGTCAGGGGTATAGGCTGTAACACCTCTGGTGTTTTGACCTAGCATTAAAACTTGACATGTCATCATATGCATTGCAAAGCATTCATAAAGTAGGAAATTTTGAATGCATTCACTAAATAAGCTTTATTTCGTAGTTGTTATTTTATGTGATGTAATGTGATTCAAAACTCTGAATGAAAATCATTATCACAAGAGTCAAATTTCATGTGATCATGTGAGACCATGTGTCATTTGACCCAAATAACCCTAATGGGCCATGTTACTGGTCAAAAATCAAAGTTAAGTAAAAAGGTAAACAAATCAAATTTGAATTCAAATTCCAATTATAAAAGTCCTTTTTGCCCCTTTTGTCTATTTCAAAATCCATTTGGAATTTGGGGGTGTGACAAAAAGCAAAGTTGAAGCTTATTTTATAAGGATCAACTTTGATATTCAAAGTTTTTAAAGTTTACATATAAAATTTGGAGTAATTTTAAAATGATTCAAATGCTCAAATGCACCCTAAATTCAAATTTCAAAATAGAGGCAGAATTTGAAAATGTCCATTTAAGCAAAATTGTAGAGTTTGAAAAGTTGAGCAACTTTTATTTTTGGAGATTTTCAACTTCTTTAGAAATTTTGGGAGTAATTTGTAAAATGGACTCAGTGGCAATTCTGAAAATATTTCAAAAATTTCGTTGACAGCAGAGCGCCACCGTCTGCTCGCCACCGAGCTGCCGCCGTCGATCGTCTTCACCTCTTCCTCGCGTAGTGACACGTCTTTGTCTCCATGGCGACCTCGTTCAGGAGCTGGCGAAGCTGGAGGCGTCCTATCCTTCTATAAATAGGAGCACGCCGCCATCGTTCTTCGTTTCCCTTCGACTGCTCGCCGCCGGTGTCCTTGCTGCGCTCGCAAAATTCGTCCTCGCGGTAGAACTGCTTGCCAATTGTGTTTGCCAGCAGCTCCGCCTCGCCCTGCCACTCCTTCCAGGCCTGCTCGCCTCGCCTCTAGCAGGCCAGCGCCACCGCGCGACGTCTTCTTCTTTGGAGCTGGCCGAAGCTTCGCCACGACCGACCTCACCGTGGCCACGCTGTTCCAGCCCGTCTCCGCCTTCACCAAGCACACCGTCGTGTTCGCGGTGAGCTCCTAAGCGTGATGCTCTCTCTGTTTTACTCTCTCCCGTGCTGTAGCCGACGTTGTACCGTGCGCCGCCATGCCCGCGCCATCGTGGCCGCCATGGCTGACGTAGAGCTTACTCCGGTGCATCAGAAACTGTTATGAGGGTCGGGTTAGGTTCGCGGGACGTGGTAGATCATGTTGGTGTTGTCCGCCTCGCTGGAGCCTCACCGCCGGCGCGTTTTGGCGGACCGGTGATGGCAGCGCCGCCGTGTCCTCTGTTTATGTCGCTGATGAATGGGCCCAAGCTGTCAGTGAGAGAAGAGGAAGAGAACAGTAAGGTTTTGATATTTTCTGAATTTTGAATAGTGCAGAAACTTTGGAAATTCATAGGAAAATAATTACAGCTCTAGAATTTCTGAAAAATTGTGTGTAGCTTCTGTACATGCTCTATTATGGTTTAAAAATATGAAACTTAAAACTTGAATAAATTTTTAATGTTCAAAAATTCAGTCAATTAATTGATAAATGTACTTTCCATGATTTTTGTAGGCCACTGTATAACTCCAAAAATTATGAAATTTATTTTGGTACACTAATTTGTCATGAGAAAGCTTGCATAAAATTTTGAGGTCATTTGGAACAAGTTCATTTTGAGCTTAATTTCAAATTAATTCAAAAATAAATAAAAGTAAACCCTAAGAGTTAGGTTTAGAGTTTGATCTTGTTTTGGTCATGTTTTGTGACTAGTAAGGGTTTCATAAGATTAATTTGGTCAAGTCACTTAAGTCATAAGCCCTAGGTCATTAAAGTTTGGTTAGAGTATAGTTAATAAATGATTTCATTCATTAAAGGTAAAACTTTAGAGTGAAACTTTGGGTAGTTCTTTAGAAGAATGTAGGGTTTCTTAGTAAATATTTTTGTGTGGTCCTTGATGGTAGAATTGCAAGTTTGTTTTGTTGGCTTGCAACTGTACCGTGAAGGAAAGTTGTACTCAAGGTGTTATTAAATTTCATGCACCATGAAAGCATCATGTTTACATTATCATCATGTTGAAGCATATGCTATTATTTCGTGTAGAATCCGAGAGTGAACCGATCTTAGTTGAGCAAGTTGTGGAAGAATCCCCGGTTGTCTTGGGATTCGATATTTGTGGTACTGATCCGGAACCCGAGATCGTCAACGAAGGCAAGCCCCGGTTTATGCATTAAACCATTACCTTGTTTACTTTAAAAAGTTTATCACCTATGTTACCTATTGCATTAAGTTGATTAATTCAAATGTTACCTACTTGATGCATTGCCTACCTTATTAATTATTTACCATCCTTGAAGATGATTTCATTTACAAAGGCGTAGAATTGCTTAGTATGCTTTATGGTAGACTTTCAAAGTAAAAGTTTTGATACAATCAAAGATGGCATACTGGCCAAAGAAAGAAAGAAGATAGAATAAACTAGAGACTAGTCGGGTGACTTATCTTGAATGTTGGGTAATGTTGCCGACTATATCGCTTAAAGGCCACTCATTGTGGATCTTCTGAACGAGACACTTTGTAGTACTGGTCACATACTACGGTAAGCCTACTTCGGCTAATCCGATACTAAGATGAATGCCTACGCACTGGGAGTGGAGAGATGGCAGGAGTAGCGTGTACCCTCGTGGCTGGAATGTGGCCGGATTTGAGGTGTGCTGTGCTCTCGGGTGGCGTGGAGACGGCTTAGTATAGGAGGATCCGGTAGCGAGGTTGATATATGCAAGATTAAGTTCTACATATGTCGTGTGATAAGAAATCCCCAGCTAGGACTTGAATCAATTCGAATTGCCGGTGCTCTGTGGATATGGAGACTCGATTCATTACAGAAGCAATGTAGGACTGGTGAATTACTAAAATATGAGAAAAATGAATGGAATGAGAAGGATTGAAATATGGAATATGAACACTTAGTTTGAGATAATGAACCAAAGTACTTAGGGGTAAAACTCGAAAATAGGATCAAGAATAGTAAGCTTTTGGCAAAGAACTTTTGAATATTGCTACATCCTTACCTTGACCCAACACCTGCATCCCTAAGACCTTCACCTCCTTTTACGTCGGGTTAGTCTTGTTGAGTACTTTTGTACTC